AGCAAACAAAAAGCTAGACAAATATTACTAGAAAGTTCGCTGCTTTTTAACGTCAGTAATAAAACAATGCAAGTTACCGACATCAACATAATAGTCAACATGCTTTTAGCGAAATAAACCTTTTCCCTACATCTAAGCTATTTTTGCAGAGACTTTTCTCGAAAAAAAATGGTTGGCATGATAGCTCACTAATTAAAAGAAACAAACAAAAGAAGATCAAGAACGGTGTTCTAGTGGCACATGCACCAACATGTCGAACAAACAAGACAAAATTAGCTTCTAAATATCATGCAAAAGTAGAATGAGTAAACAAAAAGCTAGACAAATATTACTAGAAAGTTCGCTGATTTTTAACGTTAACAATAAAACAATTCATGTTACCGACATCAACATAATAGTCAACAAACTTTTAGAATGTCAGTTAGCGAGCACAAAGGTTTTAATTTGTCTTATTTACAGATGTTTCTAGAAGACTGATAAACTACACAAGGTTTTGTTTCTAGGCATAGATCGAAAATTGTACATATAGTCCAAAGAAACTGACGCAAACATTTTAAATTCAAAGGACTTGTAAAATTATGAAAACTTAGCCCATAGCAAAGGGTTCTAGCCTTGTTAACGGATATTCATTCTTAGAAGAATGGTAAACTGAACAGCCTGTTTTCACAAGTTTGATGGCTTAGTCCCATCGTTCATGCGCGAAATTCTCACCTTAGTCTACTTTCTAAAAAAGGAAAATACTTTCAATCAAGTGAGGACATTTTCAAAACCAAAAACACTGACCTTTTTGGTTACAGTACTGTTGAAAAGCTAAAGAAGGTTTCTTTACTCAACTATCTTAAGATTAAACCTTCGTAAACTTCAGTCGAGCGAACGGTTCCAAATTGAAATGTGTTGTTCTCAATGAAGCTTCTGTATTATTTTTCACTAAAATGCCATTCAATGTCGATTTGTACATTTATGTTTAGTCACAGCATTCGCTTTTTTGTGAGAAAAGGCTTATTTACGTTTGATTTTACCGTGGGAGTGGCAAGGCTCGCGCGAGCCTCCCCCTTGTGTCGTTCGTCTGCAATATCCCACAAACATACTTCGTCTTATATCGCCTTCTATTCCTTCAAAAAAACAAAAGGCGAGGAAGAACAGAGGATACTTACACTGCCCTCTTGCTGCAAGAAAACTGAGCAGCAAAAAAAGAAAGGCTTTTCCTTTGACCAATTGGACTGCATAGCTCTGTAGTCCAGGTCTCGAAAGCATCTTCAGATATTCTGCGAAGAAAACATGAACAAAAGCATCTGCTCTCAATTCCACTCAACAACTGAAGTCAAGAGTATAGTTCATCGTTAATGCTGGGTTTTATTTCTTCAAAAATCTTGAAAGTGTCATTTATATGAAATGAAAGCAATGCAAATTTGAAAACAATAGTAAATTAGTAACTTTAGTTGCGGCAACCGGCGCTTTAAAACTTTGCAACTATCATGTATTTCAACATAAACAGTGCGTTTTCCGGCAATCGCATACTTACCTTGTCTTAGCAATTCTTCACGCTTTCTCCTCCAAAGACTTCTGCTTCTTTTGTAAGTATGTTTTGACCTACCTACACAGGGGTTTAAGTGAATGCACCTTTTAACGTCTTTCTTGTGCAATCAGAAGTGTGTTTACTTAGGTCTATTGTCTGTTGACGTTCTCGAGTTCTGCACCGAAACAAATTGTTCTTTCACTGGCAGTTTTGCGTGTGCCTTGAAGCCCGCTCTGTAGTAACCGGCGGTTCTAGAAAGTCTTAGGTATGCATGAGATTTACGGCGGTCACAAATTTCTCTTTTGTAAAGGACTCGCTGAATCGTTTCTGCCCAAACAACTTAAAATGTCCTGTCCAAACGTCCTGAAATGAACGAGCGAAAGGCCACCGCCGATAGACAGATGCGAAATATCGACATATTAAGGTTATCTTAATCTTACCATTATAAAAAAAAAAAGTGAAGTGCGCTAATTCGCTGCCAATATTTAGTTTATTATCATGTTCATGAAAGTTTTGATGTTTAATCTTTAACTCTAAGGAAACAAGACCTGTTTGAGCGCTGAATCGGGTGCGGAAAAGATCGAATGGGTGGAAGTTTGACACATTTCAACCGTGAAACAGTTGGTCGCTACAACCTTAGAAGTAAATCGAGTTAACAAAAACTGAAATTAATAAGCACGCGATTAAAACGAACAATCCATGTCGACTTCATTTCAGCGGAGCAAACCAAAAGCAGCGGTTTCCTTAAGGTGCGGAAACTATTCTTGGTTGACTATTGTCTTGAGATGAGGAAATTGATAAGTTTCCTTTGCATTGTTCAGTCTTTTGTATCGTGAAGTCACTTGGCAATCGCACAATCCGCAGAACCAAGAAAGTATCAGAAACACCTCAAAGCAGTATCTGATTCAACAGCTTAGAAATCAAGAGAGACCTGGAGTGCTTTTCAATCTATTTGTTGATCTAACTATTCGCATTACTACTATAAGGGAAAGAAACAACAGCAAAACCGTGATTGCAATTGTCTTTGCATTTCTTTCATAATCAGGCAAGAGTAATTGAAGACGATAGTGCTTCAGTTCTTTTTTTCTGCCAATGAAAACCCTTATGTAGGCACTAAAGCTGAATTACACTTTGAAACCAAACAAACATTTTGTGTAAAGTTAAGCGATCTGTCCTGAATGAAATGCTCCGCAATAAAATAATATTTTCAACCTCAAAAGATATTCTCAACCTAATAAAATACAGAAGCTTTGTGTATCTTCTCGTTAACGAAGCTATAATCCCGTAATTTACGGTGTTTTCCTTGTAACAGACAAAAACAATACTTGTCTGGGAGTATTCATTAAAAATTCACTAAGCGTTTTTTGGCTCATGAGGTCGCTAATAGGCGGTAGCGAGTGAAAAGTAATCAAACCAAAGGATGCACCCGACCGTTATCTAATTAACTCAATCAATTCTTTCCAACTGTTAGAGTGAGCGGCATCCAAGCTACAGTGATAGGAAAAAGCTGCAGTCACGCGTGAACACTACTCGTCCATTGTGTTTGATATCTACTGTAACAAAAGCTATCATAAGCAATTATGTTTTCCTTGACTTCGTCAAGTTTCCATTCAGTATACAAGACGCACTCACGAACTCAATCACCTCGTTCCATCAATTGCCTTTCTTTTCTGTGCTGATGCCGTCTCAGCCCCACAATTTACTCCGAGTTTGTAACAGCTAGCCGATATTTTTGGTTGCAATAGGGTAAATATTTACCTCTATTTTATGGAAAATGATTGCTGACAAACTTGCCCAGCTGATTATGATACGAGTTTATCGTCATACAGTTTTCGCTTATCACTGCAGTTTTCTTGATTTCTCAACAAATAATTTTCAAGTTCCTAGTTCCTATAAGATTTATCAATTCGTGTTTCTGGAAATTGGAAAATTCGGCAATTCAAAACTTACCTTGAACTGCCCACGAAGGAAGTTAAGATGAAGAGTTCTAAAAGTTCTTCTAGTTAAAGTCTTTCCGACTTGATGTACAATTTATCGTAAGAACGCTCTTAGCAGCTGTTATATAGCACTTTGAAATACGTCATAGATAGGTATGCAACTAACAGTAAGGGTTTTGGACTACTTTCCGATTGGCTGTTGAATATGTACGTCGACTAATCTTATTTGCCAATGACGAACTTTATCACGCATCGCAGAAGCTTCAATAATTTTTCCTCACAGTAATTACGAGGTAAAATGAAAAAAAAAAGATGAGAATGCAATTATAGGGCTATTAGGCGATAATTTGGTCACTGATCTTTTGTGAATTTTCGCGCACGATTTAGTTTTGAATCTTATTGCACAAGGTTAGTTATTAATATCAGTAACACACTTGCCACAAAAATGTCCTTGGAAACATCTTGAGCCTTTAAAAACAAAGGAAATAAACAATTAAAAAAGAATAAAAATTGTGGCATATTACCACAGGCAGCCCAAGCTCGCACAATGAGCCCCTATGAATAAGTGAAAATGTTTATAAATAGATTTAAACAAACTTACTTCCGTGTGTTTACTTTGAATATTGTGAGTTTTCCAGGCTGATCTACGTTCGTTTAGCTCATTCCCCTCTATACAATTCTTACACCAGGGTACGTCAGTGAGCTTGGCGAGTTTGTTTTTATTAAAAACTTATTTAGATTTTTGAGTCAAGAATGCACCTGTTCACATCCACACAAACCCTTTTTTTTCTTAACTTGTTGCGGCACACGAACATATTTACAGGGACTCAATGTCCTTGTTTAGGCTATCGGTGGTAATACAGATAACCTAAAATTTTACCATATAGTTGCGTATTTAGACATTCTCTTACCAATCGTGTGGCAAACAAATGCGCGGAAAAATTAGATCTTTGCAACAGCTTTAATGAAATATGCAAGCTCAGATAAGCATCGCACTATTGCATCGCACTATTGCGATAGACCAAATTTCTTGTTGAAGTTAGTAAATCGTAAAATTACAGTAGGCAATATTACGCAATCTTGTCCAAGTAAAAATAACATTCATCCTCCGCACTACTTGACATAACGTACTTTCGCCGCGCGAACCACACGCAACATTACGTGCAACTGCCGCACCCGGCTTTCAATCTTCAGCAAATCAAATTTCATGCCGTTTGAACATGTGAACGCAAACGTCGTTTTACGCAAGTTACGCGGACAGTGTTTCGTGGACGTGACGATTATTATTGTATTCGGAATCTTTCAAATCATTAGCATCGTAATAATCGTATTAGTATTCTCGTTTTCCATTGGTTCTTCGCACGTGCGTCCAGAAAAATGACGTACGCTCTTCGGAAAAAGAATGATTCTGCCATTTTTGAAACAAGTACGTAATTCGCACTTTATAGAAGTTATTAGTATACGAGAAAGGCTAAAATAAGACGTCAAGTTTAGTTAAAAGCAGGCAATCAATAATAACAACTTTGCCGATACTTACGAGAGCAGAGTCTTCTAAATAAATGCTTGGACATGCTATCCTCAAAAGGGTCAGTTTTAATCGAAATTCTTTCCTTTGCCACACATACGTTGAGTGAATAAGGTTGACAACTGTGGCAGTACGAGGCTGCAGTCAAGACTGCACGCAATATTTCATGCGAGGTAAGGCCTTGCTATTATAGATCTTGCAACTTGCTAATTAACTCAAAGAGACCTGCTTTCCAGAGGTTATTTCTTGAACAGTCAATGAATGTTCTAGGCGTCTAGTCGGCGCTTGACTAAGACTCGATAATTGCAAATAACTAAGGTAACCTAGTGATCATTATTTTACATTGTTTGGTTAGGAAAAAAAACAGACGTAACAATGTGTGTTTCTAGTTGTAGGTTCCACCTGGACCAAAATCATTAAAATTTAACTAAAAGAGAAGTTACTGAGTTACTGAACTATATTTATTTAGAGCTTTCCACGTCTTACATAAAATCCTGAGTTACATAGATGTAAATCCGTAGGAATATGACATAATACATAATAATGCAGGTAGAGATACATGTACCTACAATATTTTCTCCCTAAAGACTGAAGTTAAGTAAAGAACCCTGTACTTCTCAACTACAATTTGCGGAAGAGACATTCCTACAGATGTGCAAGTGATCATTTGAAAAGTGATCATCGCGAAATCACACATTGTAGCACTTTTCAGCGCTATGTTTCTTGCGCAATTGTAATTCAAAATGGTTGCATTGTTAGCTTTCTTTAACATCGGCACAGTTCTTCGAATTAAGCTGGTCTGGGTACAGACATTACTACCCGCCACTTAAAACTAACTATACGAAGTTTTAAAACAATTAGAAACAACTCCAACTTCATAGATTTATGGGCTGTTTTGAACAGATCATTACTATACAGCTTATCTGCTGTTGGCTTTCGTCACTTTATCCCAACCTCTGTTAAGTCCTTGATGGTAGCTTTCAAGCTGAAAACAAGTTTGAAAAAGAATGTTGTGAAAATGATTGAAGAACCTAGGTGGCTCAAAACAATATCTTTATTTTAAGAAGAACCAAAATAGCACTACAAACTTAAACGAACGTTGGCTTTCTTAAAGATGGTATCAAAATATGGCCATTTTATTTTATTGCTGAGAAGCTGGGATTTCATAACATAAAGTAGACATGACAACATTCCAGCCTCTCAGTTTTGAGTCTGTCACTCAAACACGGAGATGGGAAAAAGACGAGTGATATTGTTATCGGTCACATCAGAGTAGCCAGGTCGCTGAGCAAGATTCGAAATGGCGTCACCCATAGGTGAATTTTTAGCGCATAAGAAGACAACTTCTTAAAGGCTCATTTACTTTTTGGGGTCTCAAAATGTTGTGACAGTCATTCTATTCATATTTGCACTCTATTTGTAAAAATCCTTCAACACAAACGTTGCTTTCTGATCGGGTATGTGACTCGGTGTCTGTTCCGAAATGCACGGAAGATAGCAATTAAAATGAGTAGCCTAACAGAGCGCATTTATGGACAACATAAAATAAAAACATAAGCATGATGTGTTGTTAAGTTGTTAATTTCAAGTTGACTTAGGCTTTGCCCAAGTGGTAGAAATCAGGAGCTCATAATCTGGTTGAGATGGAAAATACATGATTTCTGAAAACAAGCTCTTCCTTTGATCAAACGTTCAATTATCTTAACTGATCAATGAGGGAATGAATTCCAGTTAGACAAGAGAATTACAGCACCAATCACTGTAGGAAATATTTGACATGACTGAGCATGTACAGTAATGCCGTACCTGAGCTAACAGCTGTTGGTATGCTGTGCGTAGCTTGTTCATGTCTTGTTCATGAAGATCCTCCTGTTCATTTACCTAAAGATTCCAATAGAACATTAACTTAAAGATGACAATCATTCACAGGTATACATGTATACATCTTGTTTGTAAAACAATATTTAACTGGTTTAGTTGACTGTGAACTTAAATGCTGATACAAAACAGGAGGATACTGACCATTTGTGTCAGATTATTTATCTGGTTGCTGATTCCTTCCAGGTAGTCTTTCTTTTCTGTTAATTTCTTTTCTAAGTATGCATGTTCCCTTGAAAGATGGATTAAATTGAAATGATCAATTACCAATGATGTGTTTTATCCCTGTCATGTAACTACAGGCACTGCAGTCCATAAGAAAGAAAAAAAATCTATCAGTTGCAATTTCTTAACCCTTTAACTCCCAGATCAAATATGTAATTCTCCTTACTGTCAACCATACAATTCTTATAATGCTAGTTCAGAGAATTTCGTATTGGATCAACTAATTATTCCCAAATTGATATTTTTCTTCATTCTCATCACTTATCTGGTTGATATTGTAAGGAGAAATTCTGTCTTGGTCACACATGGGAGTTAAAGGGTTCACCCTTTAACCCCCAAAAGAAACAAGTATCTTATTTCTGGCCTGATGAAGATTAGCAGTATTGGAGTCGAAACGTCATGATCAACATCCAAAGTGACTCCATCGTGAGACAAACAAATAAAGTTCATCTCCTGTCTTACACCACGATGAACAATGAACACATATTTATTACATCTTACTTCTCCTCAATATTCAAGGTTACAAGAATGGAGGAAATGATCACCAACTTAAGATGTTCTTGATTGTTAAACAAATTCTCCTTCTCAGCACCATGGGAAATGTATAGAGAACAGTTAGGAGAATGTACTTACTGATGTTAGGATGGAAAGGGTTAAAACACAAAGGGGTTCTTAAAAGCTTTTACCTTTTAATTTGATCATTAGCATCATGTGTCGCAGTAATCTTTTTATCATGCTGCCGCATCAGTCTAGAAAGCTTCTCCTGTTTGGAGGCTAGCTGTCGGCGTAGTTGCTGAAAAATTAGAGTTGCTTTATAAATTACTTTATTGGTATAGTTTTTTTTCTAGAATGATAGCAAATGTACATTTACATGTAGATCACATCTAGATAAACTATAAAACAGGACAACAAAACAATAATCAAAATTTTAAACTTGTATAAAGACAGCACAGAAATTGTTTTGACTCTAAATTCATTAAAACTGAGGCTACATGTACAGCTTGTCAATAAAAACCTTGATGTTTCATTCACTCAATAATACACTGTAAAAATTTAATAGCTGTACACGTTTTACCTCTATCTTGGCTGTCATATCTCTCAGCAACTCTTTTTGGCTGATGTTTTTATCTTGAAGTTCCTCAAGCTTGGAGGTCAACTCACTACCAAAATAAAAACAAACCAAAGAGTCAAGTAAAGAACATCTGTATACTCAACAGGCTACAAGATCAAAAACCATTGCACAATATTAATGAATACACCCAGTAGAAGTTAAGTAGAAAGACAGATAATGTACCGCAGTTTATCCATGTCGCCACCAATCCCACTGATCATTCTGATGGCTGTCTGGCCATCCTGTTGGAAGGTAAAGGGAAATGAAAGGAAGCATTAACTTAGCATGTAAATAAAATCATAGACTTCATAATTCAAAGATGCTGATCACAAAGGCTGAAAAATTAGCTAGTGTTATGCCTCCACCCCTCTTCCACATTGTAATTCACTGCCCTTCCCAGGCTTCTCCTATCTGCCCAAATTTAAAATAAGCACCTCTCCTCACCCAGGTTCGTCCTCCTTTTTTCCCTTAATAGAAAATCACTTAGACAGTTATAGTATGTTGTACGTGCCAAGTGCAGTTATGCATGCCTTACTTTACGGGCGTATTTAAATAGGTTGTATGATGACAAGAAGGACTGAGGCATTGATCAAGTGTTAAAGATGAAACAAAAAAATAAATACCAGGTACATTTTATTTGAACCAACCTCTGTATACTGCAAGTTGCTATCTTGCTGTGTGCAAATCTCTTGTAGTCTAGCACTTCTTTCATCCCTAGCCTCCCTCACAGACTGCAATGCACTCATAAGACGAGCCAGCTCCTTTCAAAAAACAAAACAAAACCCACAGGACATCATGTGTTGGGTATTGCTGAGAGTGCAAAGTAACTAAACCTGTAAAAACCAAATTTTTTTTTTGCAGTTTATAATTATTACCCCTTTAAATCTCTCAGGTGACTGGACTATCTTTGCTGCAAGATTATCAGTGTCTTGCTTCAAAGCTGCTATTAGTGCTTTTTCCTCAGCCTAAAAACAGTTGTAAAAAAAGCACAATTAAAATGTTTTCCAACTGTTGAAATGATTGTAAATTCTCTAGTACATGTTTAATTGAAATCTTGAGAGAATGTACTGTTAGAAGCATGCAACTCATCAATGTATATAATGTAGCTGGAAATTATTTCTGGTAAGTAGCTTGCTTTAAAAATTTTTTCCTTATACAAGGATTTGGGCAATATACATGTACAGTTGAGCTTAAAAAGGGGAAAATACAAGTATAATCATGTTTTACTACCTGCACAATTACTGTGTGCATGTTTCACAGAGTGTTTAAAACAGTCTGTGGCACAATTGAATACACAAGACATGCATGTACAGCACAATGTACCTGCATAGTTTCAAAATCTTGCATCATAAAAAATCCTACCTTTTTTGAACAGAGTTCTGCATTATTGGTCTTCAGTTTTTGAAATTTCTTCACCTCAGTGGCCTTTGGAAAGTCAACACAGCAGTTAAAAGGTGCACCAGTGTTTTTTGTCATAAAATGACGAGTTTGTCTTGGACATGCATTGTTCTCCCTTATTTTAAGCATAACAAGTAAAAGACATTTTAAAACCAGAAGAGCAATCCATTCATGTGTACCTGAGAGGTACTACATGCAGTGAATTGTAATAGTTGCCACCTGAAAATGAGAACATTGAAAATGAACCAATAAAAAAATTCACTATTGATATACCTGTTGTTTATTCAGTTCACTGACATCATTCTGGAGCTCTTCCACTTCACTCCCAAGCTAGTTACAAACAAACAAAAAAAACATCAAATTTTAACACAGGGGTGATTTATATTATAATTGAAATGCAAAACCAAACTCTACAACAACTTCAAGATAGTATCACCTGTTGTACTTGTTGTTCTTCCTCAGCTCGTTTTGTTCTATGGTAAAGAAATCACAGACAATAACTTTCATTGTTACAGTAGTATTGAAACTAAATCAACAACCTTGAATAATAATAATATTCGTGTATTTCCACATAAAAATTGAAGGTGATACTTATCAAATTAACTGCACTAACTTGTTACCACATTGTTTCAGTATAGAGGTTTGTACAGTACATATAACTATGAGCTGCATGTCAAACAACCATTGTTTGAATATCAGCTAATCCAAAATGGTTACACCACAACTCTTAATTATTTCTCACTCAAGTACAGGTTTATAAGATATAAATATGTGGTCCTACTTGAGTTCTGAAATCTTTTTCCTCAGGTCTTCATTTCTTGTGAGCAAATGTTGTCGCTGCTCAGTAGCTGAATCCTAGATTTCATGGAATCATATTAAGAAAACAAATTGTTGAAGAAAAAAAATTTTCATGCAATTTTTTGTTGCAAACAACCCATCTTTGCTATGTCCATGCATTAGCTGCTATGAAATTACATGCACAAAGTGGAAAAACATTTTGGTTTACTTTGAAACGCAGAAAACCTCGGACACCAGAAATAGAACTTTATGAAATGTGATTGTGCATAAAGGATGAAGCTAATCAGTTTAGAGTAAGTAATTTAAATTGCAAACAGAAAAACTAATAAATCAGACATCTGTACGAAATATCAGAATGTAGTTTTTAGAACTGTATACTAATGATTCTCACCACTTCTGCCGCAGCATTTTCATAAATATGCTCCCTTGATGCTTTAAATTTTAAGTAGTTAACAATGGCACTGAAGATACAATAAATTAATGGAGTTCATTAGTATGCTTCACAATGAAATTCAAACTAAGAAATTGGAGAAGCATGAAGTGCAAAGCATCATTAGTAAATTTACAGTCGTGTAACACATAAGAAATTCTTACATGGACTAATTGTATGACCCATACACTCTTTTAAAACAATTTTCTCAACAGGGCCGGGTTGTTCAAAGCTGGGTTAAGATAACCCAGGGTTAGTGTGAAATCTGATTTCAGATCTAAAAGCTTTGAAAGGAAATTCAGTCGAATTCTTTTAGTCTAGAGTATGACTATTTGACGCTTTAAATAAAGCACTGAAAATTATCCCAAAAAGACTTTTGAGTAAAGGAATAAAGAAACCCAGATTAAAATTTAACCCCGGGTTAGCGCTAATCGGCCTTCGAACAACTGGGCCCAGAGCTGTTTCTGATGGCACAAGCAGAGCTGGGGTATGGTTCACAAGATGTAAAATGCAATAAGAAAGAACTGCCTACCTCACGCAATGAAGAGTACGCTTTGGTTCTGAAATTAAAGGGACAATTCAGATACAAAATGTGCATACAAGTAATCAGTTAAATTTTACAATCCCATGATAATAATCAAGCAATGTAGATCTTCATAATAAACATGGTTCTCTAAGCATGTACTCAAGGTCATTTTAATTCTACTTCAGATCTCAAATTTGATAACAATAGTTTTACATGCACATACACATGGAGAACTTACTTGGTGCAACAATGTCAAATATGGTGAAGTTTTCTACTCCACAAGCAAACATGAATCGCTGCCTAAAGAATATAATTATGCCTGTTCAGTACATGCAGAATTACTAATTATTGTGGGTAGGAGTTAATAGAGATGTTAAAATATACTTCAGTAGTTTTTTTTTTCTTCTTTAAGAAAACTGCAATCTTGAGAACATTGTGAAGAATTTTGTGATGAATACAGGGCAAGAAAGAAATCCCAATTCCCTCCTACAGAATACCCTGAAAGCAATTTTCATGAGTGCCCAGATGTGGTCTTTCATGAAATAGGGAGTTTAAGAAAACCATGACAGCAAAGGCAACAGGAACATCACTAAACAAAAGGTTTCATTAGTAGAACAATGACTATGCATTGTAAATTTCTTTGTGGTCTTTGCAAAACAATGAAATGACCAAATTTTACATTGTCTCGAGAACAAGAACGGCGATGTTTAATATATAAAATTTCTATTTCTAATTTAATGCTGTGTTCCATATTCAGTATCAAGATAGTTTTGACAGTGAGAAACAATCTAAATGACTTTAGAGTATCACAAAATTTGTAAGAGATAAGTTCATTTTTAACTGACATTGTCCACAGAGTCACCGTCACCATTTCTTAAACTCCGTAATGTAGCATGGGGGAGGAGGGGGTGGAGTGGGTGCAAATAATAAAAAAAGAAATATCCCATTTCTTGTTAATACTTACATGGCTAGTGCTAAAATTACTAAAGGGGCACTTTCTTCATGAAGCTCTGGGTATTCAAAAGAGTCCATGGACTTGAAATGTGGCTATAAAAAGGAATAATTTAAGATAATCTTAAAGAATAGCTAATAAAAATGTTGGCCATACTGTTTAGTTAATAGAGTACACTAAGTGCTATGGGTGCTAACTCTGGATTAAATATCTATGAACATTGTTTTATCATGTGCAAAGACTGCATCATAATTTTATACCTTCCAACTTATAATAAAGCTTGCAAACTAATTTATCATTATCTTATACCTGCGTAAGTTGTTCAGGGCAAACACCAAAATTTGTAAGTACTCCAATGTAAAAACGTTTCATCTGCTGAAACTAAACATTCAGAAGACTTCAACCAAGTAATTCACAACAGAACAATACTATAGTTTTCCCACATCAGTAACATATGATCTTTACATTCCCTTGGAACAAATCAAAAATTCTATTCTTTACCCGGATTTTGATCTATCATTTCAGCTGATCCACGCTGACATGACAACACTGGAAACAAGCCGAGTCGCATTGTATCAGCTACACGTTGAAGCGAATGAACATAAACATTTGGTAAATTAAAAAAAAAAAAGATTCTGTTCTATGTTGGGATTCCTGTTGATTTTTCTTTAATCTAACAGCTTAGATAATGAGCGATTCTCAGTTATCACTTCCAAAAGTCTAAACAAAACAGGAAAAAATTGTTGCTCAAACTAATTTTCGAGTTCATACTGTCGATTACATACGAAAAATTTTGACACAGCGATACCTGCGGTCGTACAAAATCGTCTGCAGTTAATGCAACTTGTGATCCAAACATTGACTTGCAATTTGCTACAGCTTCGTCGGTTGTTAAGCTGGGAAACTGGAACTTTTTATGATCGACAGCCATAGTGTACAGCTTACATATAAAATGGCGGAATAGTTCGGTTCAAATTGATCCGCTCTTTGTATCGGATGTCTTGATTGGATCTTTGGCTTTGACGTCATCTTCACCTCCGCGCGTAGTAGACTGGGAACCACAACACAACTGAACTAACTAATTGTTCGCAAAATATTTGATCATATTGAATGATTCATTACTTTCCCATATAGCCGATGACATTAGTTACGTCAAGTATAAACCCAACATCAAGAAAGGTCATGCAAAGGAAAGGTCCAAGTTTTTAATTTTGATTTTCAGCGCGCGCTGTGAAACGCAAAATCTTTTCGCGTTACATCGAGTTTTTCACTTCCAGTGCATCTTGAAACAAAAAGACTACTGAATATAAAAAGCTATCCCCTGATGTCCAAACATTCGGTTACGACTTCCTGCTGATCGTGAGGTGAGCGTGACGGAAAATTGAGACATGAAATGGTTTCACGCGTGTCCCGAGCGGCGCGAGGGAGAACGGTAACACGCCACCCTCGAAGGCTGAGGCAGTCCGACTGTAAACAGTGCGCCTGAACTGCAGACCAGATATTTTTAAGACTACTACACTGTAATAACTGTAAAAAAAAACTGTGAAAAAAGCGGACTGACTCACTGATGCAAGGAAGAGCGCGCGGGAGGAGGAATATTTCTCTGTAAGGATTTATTGCGTTTTGAAGTTTCTATTTCACAATTTACATTTATGACAACTTTGGAAATTTTCGCTACGCGAACGTCTCCTATTTTTTCCCTTTTTTTTCCTTTCTCGAAGATGGGCATATGGGTAATAAAATTGCATTAAAAATGTGCAGTTCACGTTTCATTTTATATTTTGATATATTTCATTTGTCCAAAAGTTTATCTTACCAAGGTCAATATATGTACCGTTTCACTCGATATATCATACAAAGTCAATTTAAATGTTTTCAGTAATCATGCCAAGTTCAAAGTAGTCTAAATCTACTGTCTTCCGAAATTGGAAGTTCTATTAAAATCACGAGAAAATGACAAAAATCAAACGATAACTATGAAGCCGTAAAAGGAAATTGAGTCAAGGGAGGAGGGTCACGCGAAATGATTGCAATTGCAATAAAATCCATTTCCGGTCATGCTAAAATTTCCCTACCCCAACAAATTCCTCGAGTCTTGTCTATTTAAAATGCGTGCTTCTGTTGACGGAAAGTACATGGTCCTCTACGAGTGTAATGGTTAAGTCGCGATAGTCGTTAAACTAGGATCAGCTATATTTAAAAGTATCCGAGTTGAAAGGTAAATTAGTTAGAATTTAATAATAAAGATATAACTCTAAAGTTTAACCTAACTGAAGGTTTCTCTTATTGGCGCTTGATGCGGAAAGATCTTAAATTATTATTCAAAAATATCTGAGCAAAAATGAGATAATAAGTTTATTTTGTTTTCCTAACAAGGTATGACTACTCATCCGTCAGATTTGCCGAGGGGAGCGTCATAACCGGAAGTCTTTAAGATATAATCTTTGCGTGGTGAGAATCTTGCCATTAACAGAACAACCAGACCACAGGATAATAGCTTCTGAGATTTCAAGCCATCATGAACAGGTGATGTTGAAAAAAAATGTTGTTACATATATGCAGGGACTTTTGATGATTTTAACTTTGCCAGGACGATTATTACTGTTGTTCTCATTGTGATCATTGAATGGAAAATAATTTTGGATTGATAACATGAGCACAAAGAGCAGGAACCGTTTAAGCTTTTTCCCAATGAAATCCGTTAAGCGGGTTTACAGAAATCGGCGAAAGAAAAAGATATTTGCCGGGCCGTATGAAATCTGGGACATAATTCATTTGCATGATCAGGTTTCTTTCCCTTTTTTTTTTTTTTTTTGACTCGCGGGACAGATTACGCCGTCTGTCCACACGTCCTTGTAAACACAGCATCCTAAATGAGGAATTTTGATCCTCGAAATATTTAATTGTGACCACCAAAAGAAACCACAACACGACAGGAAAGGGTTGTGCGGTCTATTTTGTTCGTTACAAAAGATAGAACCTTTTTTTAATTTTATTTGTTGTAAATCAGCCATGTTACGTGCCGTAAACATCGTTGTAATGTTCAATCTAGTTAATCACTGCCTATGATATTAATGTTTAAGGCTTGTATGGCAGGCAGTAGTGACCACTGTTCCATCGAGAAATGTGTCGAGCTGCCAGCTACTTAAGGTATAACAAATATTTGTTACGATTTTCGTTCAGGTGGTTCCTGTTTCTGTACTGTTCCATTGCACAACTATTCAACCACTGTTCAGCCGATAGCGAAGAAGTGATTCAAGTGGATACATTTCTAGCGAGTGTAAACTTAAGCGAACAAAAAGTATTCTTCGTGAGAAATAACTTGGAGGTAAGTCGATTACTCAACAGTGAAAATTATATTAATTAAGGATTGTATCGAAACATTTTTATCCAAAGAGGATGGTAATTAACAAGATGGGAAAACAAAAACAAAAACGAAGCAAAGCAAGGCAAAGCAAAAAAAGAAAAGGCCTATAAAACATACCAGGACAAACAGCCAAAAAAGGAAAACTATTTCTGTACTATAATATTTTCTGAAATTTTGGATTCCAGGGTGACATAGAATTCCAAGAGAGTCAAAATACTTCATTAAAGGTCCATGTTTCCGGAGAGGATAGAGATTTTGAACGTATAAGGATTGAGTACGATGTTCTTCATGAAGAGGATATTGTTGACATACAAGTGGTAAGCTAGCTATGAATTAAAATTTGAACAAATTCCATTGAGAGTCGTAAAACCAAAAGCAAAATCCAAGAAAAACGCATCAACCAATTAGAAGAAAGGAAAACACATTTGGCTAAGTCGCGGTTGTCTTTTGACTTAAACGCTATCGGTTGAGAAAGTGGCACGGGTTTTCTGGACCAATCACGGAGAGAAGTAGAATAGAACCAAAGAAATCGCCAATTATCTTCAATCGGAAATCCCTCCTATCGATCCTTAGAGGCACACTGAGACTTATTTAGTATATATTACACGGGCGTTTTCAGAACTTTCCAACTTCTGTTTAGCGCGTTATTGGTGGACGAGAAGTGAAACTATTTACTTTCCACGTCTCCAGAATGCTTAAGTTTCCTTCTGTTTCTATGACCTGGTTGTTACTGTAAGCGCCTACAGGTCTCCTTTTATCACCGGTTTCAGAAATATTTCTTACTGTCTTACATTTTTCTCCAAAACGACTATATTGCTGCATTTTTCTTGTCATAATACTGACACGTTCTCTTTTTCTTCTAGTTCATTTTGCCCGAGACAACAACAAACTGGTCAATAGTAGGAGGTCTTGTTGCAGGGGCTGGAATCTTTCTGATAGTCATGATTGTCGTATTGATTATTTGCGTGTTCAAAAGGAGAGTAAGAAAGCGACAGTACGGGTGTACCCTGACAGGAAAAGAAGCAGACGAGGAATTTGAAATGAGAAAACGCGGTACAGCTGTTGCAGGTATATACCTTCTTAGTCGTAATAATCACAAGAGTAGGCTGAGTGTAATACTGTATTAGATACAGTAGCAGTTCGACTTCTTTGGCGAATCGTTCGAAGTAAAAGTGACAAGTGGCCGTTTCATCAGTCAAATTAAAATGAAAACCAAAAAAATGAATAAACTAATAAAGTGGTAAATAAGCAGCAGGCCTCACGAACGTATCTTTTTCCCTCCTTTCACAAGAAAAACTTACAATGTTTGAAGATTCAAAGAAAGAGGAAATGATGTGCGATCAACAGGACGGCAAATGCTACAGGCAATTGATAAATCGAAGTCCTTGGATGGAAAGTGAGTACTTGTAGATATTGGTTCGTCCCATTTAAGGATTGCATTTTAAGCGATGGCCGAGCGATGACCGAGAAAGCTCAAAATCAAATCTTATTTTGAATAAAACCTTATTTTACAAACTTTTTTCTTTAAATGAAGGGAAAATTGCTACTTTCGAAACTCCACAATTATCAGTTGAAGAGGACAATGGGAAAGGGAAAAGTAAAACCATGGAAACTACAGAAACTATAAGACAACTTCAAATGGAAGGTACTTCTGAAATATCTTAATTGAATAAAATAATTGTCAGCACCGTGTTTGCTCGCGCACGCCCTCGGATAAATATCAACAGGACCCATGCACAAGTTAATAAGTTATTTGTTTCTTGTTTTAGTTATGATTGATCCGTTAAAAAGCACGTTTGCTTTTCCACCCGGCCTAGAGATCGGTGTATGTCGACTTTACCGGCATCTTGTCACATAACACCATCATGTTATAAATAACTTGTAAGCGAGGCCTTTAGTAACAGGGTATGATAGAAGTTAGGTTTTCAACTTCTGCTACCAGGAATTACAAAATTGAAACCTTTACTGACACCTTACTAGGGAAAAGCCATGACTCAGAGGCTCCTCGACGAACAAGAACTGTGCCTGCCCAGTCCTCGACCTTGATATCGGTGCGAACAGCTTTTCTGGTACTCACTTTAATCGCAGTAGCATTAGCAACGACCAAAGCACCCTCAGTTAAAATCGTCATTCGCGTGCCAGCAAATTTTGTCGGAAACGGCTCAAAGATCTTCTTCAATAAGGATTTCCACGGAAGGCTGTTATTATCCAGAGGATTTAGAGCAAAAATGAACCATTTTCAACAGTTTGGTAAGTTTCTATAAATCATCTTAAATTTATACACCTTCAGAAGGCTTTTATTTTTTTTTCCATGTTTTTTTTTTGTGGCATACCTGTAAACTAGCTTTCTAGCTAAGCGTACCGACACCATTAAATACATTGATTGATTGATCTGATTGATTATATTGTGGTAATTTTTCACTCGGAGTAGAGTAAAAAATGATTGTGGGGGGAACAAAGTATGCATCTTCCTTAATCTTTCTTTTTACCTTCAGAACTTACTGATTACAAAAAATCAAGCATTTGAAGCAAAAACATGTACCAGTCTTCATCAGTGGCTTTGAACATATCGTTATCTTTATTTTTTTCTTTCTTTGTAGCTATACCATCAGCTTCAAAAAAAGTATCGCCCTTAGATAAATGCCCCAACTCGTGCCACTTTGCTTGTGACGGACAATCAGAGGGGTGCATCTGTCCCAGAGGATATGAAATGAACAGGGGAACCTGCCATGGTGTGTATCTTATGTCAAAATGTCTGTTGATTTTAGTAGCAAAAGATTGCGATAGTAATCTGGAAGACTTATACAGTTTTTTATTATTATTTTATTATTATGACTATGATTATTATAAATTAAAGGAGAGATTAAGTAGTGTACAAGCAAGAGAGGATAATTGGTCTCCTCTTGAAGCGTCGATGAGCAGATTTTCCTCATTTTCCTCATTTTTACTATTTTCACTGATTTTGTTATAGATATTAATGAATGCACCAGAAAAAAGCACAACTGTCATGTGCAATCCACGTGTAACAATACCATTGGTGGTTTTCTGTGCACGTGTGATGAAGGATACTGGGGAGATGGAATCACGTGCAAAGGTATTTTTAGATCTGAGTCCATTTTCCTCTGAAGACGTGCGTAATGAGTTTTTGAGAATGCTGAAAGCTGTGAAAAAAAATTAATTAATCTTCCGAAATTGTTCGCATATCCTAAATACTTGAAGAAATTTCTCTCTTTTGAATTTATTATTTTATTTATTGTGAAATATGAAATGTTTTCCGGTTCAAGAACTGGTAGCACAGCATCTACTTACATCAAAGTTCGGTTTAGCTTGCAGCACTACCCCTTGTCCAGAAAATTCTTACCAATCAGAATCGTGCACAAGGACAAGCGACCGGGTGTGCACAGGTAAGTGTGACTCTGCTATAGACATTATCGTGAACTTAAAGATCGACTTACGTCTTGTACTACCCTGACTTCATTACGACTTGAAAGAACGTCTAACTCAAGCTTTATTGGTTTTCAACTTACAGCTTGTAGCCCGAAATGCGAAAAGACGACATATCAAGCGTATGGCTGTGGGTTAACCTTCGACCGAAAGTGCGTCGGTGAGTAAACAGACTGTTGTTTTCAACTTCATTAGTCTTTGCTAGTTACAGTTTGGATAACTTCCATGAGAAAGCGCTTTTTTTTCCTTTCGAGGCTCGCTTGGCTTAATGCACCTTTGATAAGGAATGGTAAACAAAATTATATAGATGAATTATGATTTCTTACTCAGACTCCAACTTTTTTTCTGAAAATTCCTATGACAGATATATCCAAGCCCTTAACGTTGAGCAACAGAGTAAATGATAAGGAAACCCTCGAAGGTAAGACCGATGATCAATACCATTAATGCAGGCTATGTAAAAAATGTCACAGTTGTTGTGACGATGTGTGGCTCGAGTCCATCGTTCACCCTTTCCTTCAAGATCTCGCCTTATTGCTTTTTTTTTGCCTATCGATCTGATTCGCATTAAATTGTCCCTTAGGTTAACCTAAAAGTAAAAATTCAGCCCGAATTTTCATTCAGCAGATTTTCTTCACAAAGTAACTCAGCCCGTCTATCTATACGTCTTAGTCTCTTTGCAGCTTATTATCCGAAAATCATGTCTGGTGTTCATGATTACACAGCATGCCATACTAGTTGATTTCTTGAAATGCCATGCATTTCAAAATTTTCTTGAGATTCTGCTGATTTAAACAACTGATATAGATATATGTATCTTTTTTTTTTTGTTATCAGCTCAATCAGGCAGCAAGCTTTTTGTGCTTTCACCATCGAAAGAGTTCGTTCTATTCGAAGATCGCCTCTGGTTAAACAGGACGAGTGAAACCTTTTTCCTTCAAGGAAATTCATCGAAGCAAGCTCGTTTGCATCGAAATTCAAACTTTCACGTAGACGTAATAATTGACGAGGCCAACCTAGTTCCAACGTACAGTGATTATGATGCAGGGAACTCCTATGAGGAAAATCTCGAATTTGCAGGTGTGCCAGGATTCTCTGCCGTATTTCACAACTACTGCAGGTACCCAGCACCAAATCACTACACCATCCATCATGTCTTGCAGCGTAACCGCCAGACAAAGGTATATCCCGCCAAGTGTTTTCACCATTCACGACGACTGTGCCCAGATGACGTCGCACCAGGTGACTTATATCATTACAGATCTTTGAATGACGCTTGTGAAACTGCGGAAACTTCCACCATCTGCTCAAAACATAATCAGAGAGACTGTGTACTTCAAACAGGCTTGGACAAACTGTATTGTACAAACTACACCAATATTATCACCGATATATTTGGCTTAAACAAAGCTGAATTTAAAGAAAAGCCGTTGTTTTCCTTTCCGACACATTTTTGCGCGCATGCATATCGCGCTTGCAGAATGTGTAGAAGTAAATGTTCACATTGTGACCAATCTGCAAGTCATGCAGACAGCTCATGCTCCTGTTGCTACAAAGACTGCCTTCCTAGCTGTTCCGATTTCTACAGGGAGTACAACTGCACCCAGATACCAAAGAAATGCGCTAGAGGAGACACCAGCCAGTTTCAATTGACCATGAACAAGCCATCTAACTTGAAGTTACAGTTTAATTGCTTTCTTCAACACAATGTCCCAAAGACCTTGTATACCCTACGATACAGAGTAAAGCACAAGAGTGGACGCTTCGTTTCACAATGGATCTCTAAAACCTTGGAAACTACGTCAGGGAAAGATTCTAAGTCAGTGATGCACCAGGGAACTAATCGCCTCGACTCCTTGGAAGTTTCCCACTCAGTGAATTTTGATATTCCTAATTTACTTTATCTTCGAGCCCAGAGGGACACTGAAAATAAACCGTACAAATACACGGTAGCTAGCTTGGAGGGAGAAAACATAACTTTAGCTAGAGCTAGCGAGGCAGGCACAATTGAGATTCTGACCAAGACACCATTTTCAATCACCACCAGAACTTGGAGTGATGGTGGTAACTGCCAGAGTCTTTCTGATTGGTCAAAGACCATTCGCGGTCCTATTTCAGAATGGATACCTGCAAAAGTGGAGCATCTTGGTGTTCAATCCCAGGGCGAGTTTGCATATCGTTTACAAAACTCTCAGCGATCGCCTATGATGACAGTGACCATTTCTGAAAATGAATCGATTCTTAAGCATGTCCTGACTAATGCGACAATTCGTAATGACGAGACATTTAAAAGTAGTTTGACTCGAACAAACACTAGTTGGAATGCTAGGATCGGTGGACTTCTGACCACTTGTCCTGGTTTCTTTACTCTTGAAGTCATCGATGAAGTGGATAATTTGAGAGTTATGTATCAAGATGTGGTGATACTTTGTCCAGCGACCCAATTCGAGATGGACATACAAGTTCCAAGGAACGGTTTACAGGATAAGGAGCGACTTTTTACCGTTCGTTTCTCTAACGCTAAACAAAAACTGGACCTGACGTTAGCCCTAGTTGACAAAGAAGCCAGGAAAGTGAGAGAACCGGTGGAGAAACATCATGATACGGAACCAAACCCTTGGATGATATTGATGCCACTCTTCGTTATCACGGGCTGTGTACTTCTTTCTCTGCTGGGTTTGATCATCTATGCACAGGTCACGCAAAAAGACAAGGATACTTCAACAGATAAGAATCATTCTGGGTGGAAATTCGTTAAGAACAAGAAAGTATCTATGGGTAAAACTGAAGTTGGGAGGGCGACTACTCCGCCAAAAGACGAAAACAGACTCAAACGAAGGCATCTCATCTTGGTTGCCTTCTTTGCCGTGTTTAGAATACTTTACAGTATGGCGTTTACGTTTTCGATGGCTTTCGCCATTTTGACGCTTCTTCACGCCGACAATCTGAAAATAATTCAAGAATTTCAAAACTTTGTGCACGAAAAAATTGAAGAGAGTAATGCTATCGCTTTACGAATGGATCAACATCGTGAAAGAGAAGTCAAACGTCTTCTTGACGCTAGCGAAGACATACAGAGATCTTGCGACTACTTTATTGGCCTACAGCTGCATTGGCTGAGGTTCAACAGTACTTGCCTGATACAGGAAAACCACCTGAAAATGTTTAACAAATTAAGTAGGAAAATTGTCAGCAATGTAGAAGAAAAAGTTCACAAATTAAAGAGAGACATTGACGAGCGAATAAACGAATTTCAGGGGAGTACCAAGAGACAGTTAAAGGAAGTCAAGGGGAGTTTGACGAACTACGCCAAAAGAGTTTTCAACAATGGCTGGTTTGCTTTGCCGAAAGGGGCATATGAAATAAAGATGTCAACATCCCGGAAGAGGAGAGGAATCGTTGTTAATGGTAACTCAACACGACAATTCTATCATCCAAAGGATGAAAAATCAAGCGGTAATGAAAACAATGGGGGGCCCAGCAAGAAAAACAAGAATGGATATTCCATCAGAAGAAAACGGAGCATAGCGGACAGTTCCCTCATTGGATTTCTTGATTACGTTGGGGCTTTAGATCAAGAAAAACTCATTCAAGCCGAAAATAACATCATTTCCAAGCTAGAATATGTAAAAGTAGGCCTGGGGGACTTTAGCGAAGTCCTAAAGACCGGCAAGTCGCCTGAACACCCCCTTAGCACCATACTCATGTGTCCTCTACGGTATATGTTAAAATCCGCAAAGAAACAAGTGCAGAAAGGTATACGGAAGCTGGTCGACGAGGGTGAGGAGTGGGCAAAAGGCAAAGCCGAATGTTTTGAAGGGAAATTCAGTCACTTCTTTGCTTCGAATGACTCTGTTATAGAATTTAACGAAAACAAAACAGATACCGAATTCTTCTCCGAGCGCATTGTCTACGAAGATGTCTATGGCCTAGACACAATTTCAAACGTTTCCAAAGCAAGCCAGTCATCCATCATCAAGTCTGCAAAAGGAGGATCCTTCTACAACATTGAAAAGGGAGATATCATGGAAGAAATGGTCGACAGCCAAAAGGAAGAACTCCTTGAAAGGAAAGCAAAAATAAAAAATGTTACCAAAGTGTATGACGCTGAAGTTTTCTCTACGACCAGAAAGGCCGTCTTAGGCGTGTTTGTGTTGCTCGATATTCTGCTCTTCATATATCGCGGGTCGAAAACCTACCAAATTGCTTTTAAATTAATCGAAGGATTTGAGGAAATTGTAAGCCACGACGAGGATGAATTTGACGAAAAACAATCCAAAATCAAGGAAAGAGCGGAGAAACTTCTTCGAAGGATCTTTGACTTCCTCGCTGAGACGTTTTCAAGGTTTATAGCGCTCTGTAAGAGTCTTCAGAAACGTATCATGCGCACAAATCTGCTCCCGCTGATCATGATAATTGCTTTGTCTACAGCTACACTGTACCTTATCGTCACTTTACTATATAATGTAATGAATGTGACCGTTATAGAAGAACTTGGTGGATACAATATGATTGCTTCTCGTCTGGACACGGACCTCCGCTTCACAAACCTCGCCATAGAAGATCAGGTGGATTTCACCAATAACAATGCACTGGATCAGTACAAGGAATCCGTAAGTGCTTCCATCAGTGAATACAACAGCATGATCTTGGACCTCAACAAGGAACAGCAAGAGCGCATGGAACGACTTAATAGACAACTCTGTTCCCTGGAGGATGACCCGAAAAACTGCTTTGGGGAACAAGCATCTCTTCTGAATTTTAACTTCCACTCCTGTATTATCCCGACACTGGAAGGAACACCTTATGAGGATTACGAAAGTGACGCTTACCGCCAGCGAATTAAGCGCGAATCAAAACGGTTTGTGGACGCCATACGAAATATAATATTGGAGACGGTTTATTTCATTCTGGCGGCTGCCTTGTCGATTTTGATAATTACAGCTCTTACCTACGTTGTATTTCTGTTCTTTAAGGCAAGAGGGATGGTTCGGTTGAAAAAAGTTCACGTGTATAAAGCCCTGCCAGCTGAAATTCTGGAGCAATTTCATTTGAAAACAATGGAGTCGGAAGATGAACACGATGGCAGAAACATACATGACAAACACGGAGATCATCGTAAAGTAACGATTCCTAAAGTCTTCCTCACGGCTTCAACAGAAAGCATCAATAGTTCGCGAGAATCTGTCCAAACCTGCTAAAAAAAGTGTTACAAATTGAGAACCTTTTATTGTAAATATGTTCATATAATTATTATGGAAAGTGCGTAACGAAAACCTAGTCTAACCTAGACTCGTGTTAAACATTTTTGCAAACAAACCACTGCGCTTCATTAGAAGCGTATAATTTCGGTTCTTTTTCTCAATCATGACAATTATCGTCCTAATTTCATTCTTTTTGTGACAGCTTTTCAAAGAATTCCGATCCTCAGGATCATGACATGTTAGCTACTGAACATTACCTTGTAAATCACTTCGCTAGGAAATATTGGTAGCATCGAACTAGTATTGTATAATATTGTGTATATAAAGTAATGAAATTATTTCAAGAAAGAAATAACACAAGAAGCGAAGCTGGTAATATAAGGCTCATTCACTGTTTTTAACAGTTGTTAGAAACTTTTTCGATGAATTTACAGCAATGTCTCATTTTAAAAATAAACTAATAAAAAGAATGCAAAAGAGGCTTACTCCAAGTTGTGGTTGACATAAGGAATTTCGGATCAATATCAGTATCTGGGCAACTACCCACCTACCCCTTCCCTAACCCAACATTAACCCGAACTTGTCATCAATAGACTGTTGTTGGGTTAGGGGAGGGGTAGGTGGGCAGTTGCCCAGATACTGATATTGGCCAAGCCTCTAAAATAAGTACAAGCCACATAGTACCGGAGTGACTTACAGAATTGAATTTCCTAGCTAATCCTAGTCTCCCCTTCACATGCACGAAAAGAAACAAATGGCGTTGCTTGTCTCGACATTCTATTTTAACGAGGAAGTTCTTTCAAGATCTCAATCACTACTATAAATATGCCCATGCATCCGTATTCAGTTGAACTTACAGCAAGCATTTGCATGGTTAGGCGTTTAGATTCCCACGGTCACCCAAATCTGACTACAATGAATGAAAAAGTTTATAAAATCAATTAAATAAAATAATTTCACTTTATAACATCTCTTTTAACGGACAGTGGTGAATTTGAGCTTGACCGTTTTTCTATACAACGGAAAAATTGAGCTCTGGTTTTTTTATTAGGCCTGTTGAAAAGATATGGAAGAAAAGATATGCAGAGGGTTAATGTAAATATGTAAAAACGGCTGTAAGTAGAAGAGAAGGAGGATAATTTTCTATCTAACAAATTCTTGGTTTTTCAATTCACGGGAATTCGGTCGAAATTGGCTGACACTATACAAGATGATCTAAATTTGAATGACTTCTTAGCTTAAATACCCTCTTGAAAGCAATTAAAAGCCGGTGATCTTTACATTTCGGGCTAGATTTATCAGTTCTCAATACCGGGGAAGTGCATATTGATAAAGTGTCATGGCTACGATTGTCGTTCTTCATCTGTGTCATTTGTGAGGTGTTTACACTTCGAAAAAGAAAAAAAATTAAGATAAAAAATAATTAAACCAGACAGCCAGAGAGAACCACTCCCAATCCTGACGAGAGTTTTGTTTTATTCATCCTAATGACAATCTTGCGAGGAAGAGGCGATCATTTATTTTTGTTGTCCGTGATTATATATGATTTCGATGAAAGAAACTTAAGCTACAGAAGCCTTAAGACGAAGCAAGAGTTGCAAAAGATAGACCTCAAAATAATAGAGGGAAAAAAAACTGTTTCTGCATGCATTTCATTTTGCTGTACATCATAGTAAAGGTTTGTGAATATTTGCGAGGCCAAAAAAACTTCCACTCACTCAAATGTGCGTGGAATACCAATACTCTCGCGCGATGAAACCGCTCGCGTCAGACTCGAATACATTGCGTGACATGCTCTTGGAGTAGCTCATGCGTGACCCGTTGGAACACATTCAAGTTGACTAACAATTCCAGCTTTGAAGATAATACTTTGAGAGGTTTGTTGAGAATACCTTTTGTTTTACAGAGCATTAAACAAAGAGAATTTAATGGAAGAAATTTGAATCAATGTCCCTAAATTCATTTCACCATATTTGACTTATTTCGTTTCGTTCGTAAAAAAAATAAACATATAAACTAAACGCGCCCCTTGATGTGCTCTGTTACGTCATCACCCGCATGACTCTTATTATCTCAAGGACTTCTTCAATAACATTTCCGTTCCATTCGATAAAAATATAGACAGACATTGAGGCTGACCTTAAATGGACAAGTAGTTTTTAGTGGAGATGAGTTGTACGTATTTAAAGCAACGACTACTCTGATATAACAGAGGATGTTGAACGGGTTTGTTTCAGAAGATATTATAATAGGTAAGTTATATGTGCTGTTGTCGAGAATTGACAAGTTCTGAGAGTTGTCCGGCAAGTTGTTATCTGCGACACAAGACTCTTCTAATGAGGTAAGTTTTCCTTCAAGGCGCACACCACAAATGTTACCAACCGTAATTTATATGCTAGTTGTCTTATTCAGTCTAACTTTGGAACTGACGGATAAAGCTTGCATTGTAGACGCTTATATTGCTGATAAGAAATGTTAGCCGTGCGGTCTGAATAAATGTTTGACGCATGATGTTTATCTGTCGTGTCCAGAGGCTACAGAAAAGTAGGAATATATATCATTGTGAGCGATTTTCAGAAGAAATGAATTGATGGACAGAAAATTATTCATTGCGACATGAAAATGGCGTGTGAAAGCGGAAATTGCAAACGCTTAAGGCGAATTATTTTAAGTTTCTCGTCCTTTTTTCAGTGCTTAGCGTTTTAACGAAACAACAAGTAACTTAACAAATTCTTCTGTGGATGACGAAATCTATGGCCTCAGGGCATGTACAATTTTTACCGATACATTGAACTTGAGTATTGTATGGACCAGCTACAGTTAGTGAGCAAAAGAAATGTTGATAATAACGTTACTAAAAAGGTGATATCATGATGATTATGTTACAATAACCAGTGGGTACGTGGTCCCCATTTTCTTTGGAATTATTTTATTTCGTAGTATTAAGCCTTCTGTTTGAGTATTTGTCTTTGATTTCGAATGATAAGCTGCCGAGACGGTTTTGACGGCATCACTAACGATATTTTTTATCTTCTTTGGGGTGATTTCCATAGATAAAATGACGACGCAGCCATCAATTCGAAGACTTGTTCCACTCTTTTTTTCTGTTTTCATTGCTTCAACAACGTCAGCCATAAAAACGTACCAAAAATTCGTTGGCCTTCCAGAAACTGGCGATAGAGTGGACTACAGTAACGCCAGTGAACACAGCAGGACTTTGATTATTCGCCACAATTTACCAGTGAGTGATCGGTGCCCGGTTAGGTCGAGGATCGGTAGATTTTAGTAAGATTTTCGTTAGCTGTTAACGACGATCAAAAACTTTTTCATGTTTCTTTTTTTTGTGTGTGTGTTTTTTTTTAAGTATTTCGGTTTTTTTTTATCACTCCTCTTATTTTTTTAAACGTGTTTCTTCTCTCGGCCTCTTTCCTTCTTTAATTCTTTGTCGGGATGCGCGGACAACAGCGAATTTTGTTGTACGTCCAAACAACTGAAGGACTCTCAGCGGCGTTCCCTCTGGTCAAGTTGAGTGTCTCTTTTATTAGTTATGAAATATTGTCTATGTTGCATTTATCGTCTCTTTTCTTATAACAGGGAAAAATATTTTTTTACGAGAGCAGCGAATTTTGGATTGAACTCCTCACCACAACCCCAGAGGACGACAATAATTCACTCGTAAAGATATCTTACACAGCACTTGCGGATAACAATTCAATATTGTTAGAAGTGGTAAGTCTTTTTTAACTATTTATCGACTACCTTGCCGCAATCTAGTTCAGTGATATATCATGAACTAACCCCTACCTGCCCAAACATACTTCCAGCTAACCCTCTCCATTCCTACCTATAGACCTACCTCCTTATCTCTTTACTAACCTGCCTATCTGCTTTACTACCAATCTTCCTACTTACCTACCTCTTTACTAACCTCACTAGCCGCCAGCCTTCCTCCCTACCCCTCCCTTCTCTCTCTCTCTGTCTCTCTCTCTGTTCTAACTTTCTCACCGGCCTAATAAACAAAGTACCTACACTGGGCCGTAAATGTAGCCCCCCCTCTTTTTTGGAAATAATTTAATAAAATAGTCAAGAACAGATGCCTTGAGTCTTACAACATATTGTATCGCAAAAAGTGTCTGAAAATGTGCGGAATGGCATTGGAGCGTGTCTTGATTTTCAAAAGTCACCGTGGGAGGATGCTCCCGGACCCGCCTATTGGGTTGAGCTCAGTACCCACAATTAAACACCCACAACTGTGCTACCCGTTGTGCCCCCTAAGTTCAAAACGTGTTCATACGGGCCTGCTACTTACTCCCAAATATGTGGTTTGGCCTTCATGAAGCTAAGGCCTCCTTTCACCTGTCACCATAAACATATAAACGCTACCATTTCTTTCTTCAGTACGCCCCCCAAATCAAGCTGTCAGCTGACACGAATGGAACGGAGAAGCTTCTAGTCATAATTTTCAGTGCATTGGTATCATTTTTCGTCCTTGGGCTCATGGTGTCCGCACTGTGTTATTTTTGTTACTGGAAAAAGCGGCGAAAAACAGATGCAAACGAGTCAGTTGAAGGTTTGTGCTTTATATTGACATTCATCTCCAGCGCTTTTAAATCTAAATATCAGTTCTAACTACGGATAATATTTTGAAATAATCGTTCTGTTCAGTTGCAAAACAATCAGAAGAGGATATTTTTGGCATCAATTGTAGCACCAAATTATTTTTGACCTGAACATAATTGTTGACACCGATAAGAAAAAAAGGGACATTTTTTTATACATGTACTCTTCTTGAACAGACATTTCGAGAACCTCCAGCCCGAGTTCTTCGCGTGCCAGTCTGAATAGCGTTGGGCCCTCACCGAGTGGTACACAGTTCTTGGTGGTGGCAGTTTGCGCATGTGCGTTACACGCTCAGCTGCAGACAGCGAACGTGGAAATTACTATTTACTCTCCCAGAGAATTTCTTCGTTCAGACTCCAGAGTTTTTTTGAAGTCAGAAAATAATAATGAAGTGAGAGTTGCAACCAACGATACAAGGCTGAAAATCAACATTTTTGGTGAGTACATATTGTAACTTTGTCTTTCTTGTCTTCATAAGTCCACAATTCAAAAAAAAAAAAAAGAACAAGAAAAAAGTGGCTTGTGTGGTTAATCCTGGTGATTTTGGGAGGAGCCTGGCACCCATTCTGTCTGTGCGAACGGTCGCTACTAACTGAATAACTTTACAGGATAATTTAAACAGAATATGGAAGCTATCTTCGCCATAATGAACACCACTTAAGTAGTAGCGAAAATAAGGCCTGAAAAAAATTCCGGCCTGTGCAGGATTTGAACCAAAATAAACCCGTGAAGGCCGTAATTTTACAACTGCTTAAGTAGTGTTCATTACTTCGAGGATCGCTCCCATATTCATTTCTTTATCCGCAGTTCACGTGCATGATGTCCATATATTTACAGTCATAATATAAACTAAGAGATTGTAACCTCCTGGTTGTTTATCAAAAACAAAGGTTTGATGGGGGCAAATCGCCCTATTAGCACTTTTAGAGCAACTTGATTTACTGCAAAAGAGTTTCTCATTCGACTTATCAGCCTATATATGGTGCGTGGATAACAGCTTATCATCTGGCTTGTGGTCAAGGGGCAGTTGCTTGTCCTAAACATAAGGCTGAGTAGGCTACTTGCAACCCTTGAAGTTGACTTGAGGTTCAGAAATCAGCAACAACTTTGCGCATTCGGTATTTGGGTGAAGCTCCCTTGGCATATTATTAAACATAAATAACTTAGGAAAAATGACATGTTTGGTTCTGGATAATGAGATTTTCAAAATACATATATTCTCTCATTCCTTCTTCAATTAGTGTGACTTTTTCATAGAAATGAGATACCGATTGTGTAATTTTCCTGAATTTCTTCAGACGTTCCCGACGCCGGATTCATTTCTGAGGATAGATGTTTTGATAAAAATACATCATGTATTAACGGTGTCTGTGATCCTCTGGTGGGAAAATGCGTCTGTCCAAGGAGAATGCGAGCAATCAGACTTAAGGGAGGCAATGAAGAGGACATGCGATGTGTGTTCAGTAAGTTGGTCCCAGAAACTAATCATTAGATATATCTGTGGACTGAGTGTTCTATTGATCATTTCAACAACATGATGTAGTTTACTTCTAAGATTTTCGGTTCACCACACAGACAAGACTTGTTTGTAGGAATTGCTTCACCATTTTTGTTTTCTTGAGAACTTTGTGAAGAAAACCTAAAGAATCTTCTGTTCCTTTTTTTTGTTGTTGTAAAGAATGTGATCAAAAGTGCCAGAGTGGTTTCTTTGAAGTTTCTTCTTGCAATCACACGCATCAAGCTGTATGCAAAAGTAAGTTCACTCAAAATATCATTTCGTACAAGTTGTTGATCCTTTGCATTAGCGTTTAGTTAAATAAATGCATTGCTATTATGAATATAATCACGATTTTCTTTTACATTGGCTACATATGCAAAATCTGATAAACCTGAGTTGTACTATGTGCAAAAACATGTGAACGATTCATTGGGGGTCAATTGACTAAATTCTGAGCTACATGCTTACTTCACTTTAATTACATATGTTTTGCGTTTAATCTTTCAGAGTGTCGTCCTCAGTGCAGTTTTAAGGAATTTGAATCCGTTCCATGCACCGGAAAAACAGACAGAAATTGTACTGGTACAGTCACATTTTTATTTACATGCGATACTGTTGCCGTTGCTAAAGTTATTTACAGTCATGAATCCAATGACAGACGTCTTCACCCTAACATCCTGATTCATTTTATTTTAGACATATCTCAGCTGCCTCATATTCAAGTTTCTCCAAACATTGTCTATGAAGATGTTTTAAAGGTAAGAACGGGACTGAAGGCCAGGGCCCAGTTGTTCGAAGGCCGATTAGCGCTAATTCAAAGTTAAATTTTAATCTGGGTTTATTTATTCCTTTATTCAAAAGCCTTTTTGGGATAATTTCTTGTCTTCTTTTTAGAGCATCAAATAATCATATTCTAGATAAAAGAATTCGACTGAATTTTCTTTTAAGCTATCAGATCTGAAATCATGTTTCACACTAACCCTGGGTTATCTTAACCCAGCTTTGAACAACCCGACCCAGTATTGTATTTGCTCTTTTTTCCAGTATCGGTGGCCATATGCTTAAGTAAGCGGTTATGATCACCTAAAGCCCACTGCTGCTTGAAGTGATTCCTGAGGGCATTTGTCCTAGGCCTGTACCCCATCTGCAATTACTGGAACTTTCTCACTTTCCTGAGGGAATGCACTCACAAGAACTTGCCTTTAAAAAAATATTCCTTTACTCTCTTTAGGCTAAAGATGATACACCACTAAGAAAAACTGTCAGCAATGAATCAAGCTCTTCCAGCCTCTGGTTTAACCGATCAAGTGGTCTGGCGATAAAGTTTCGAATACTAACCATCGACTACGGCACGACCTTCCGTGAAGTCAAACATGACGCTAACGACAACAGTAAGCTTCCAAAAGACGTGACCTCACAGATTGTGCTAAGGGAATTATGCAGCTCCCCAGTTCCGGACTATTACCGGATAGATTTAAAGGAGTCTTCTGAAAATGTGCAGATTATTAAAGGACAACCGAACACTCCTTGCCCAAGGTATGATGGGAAGTTGAAAACTCTGCCGACCCAAGGAAATATACTTTCGTGTAATGGCGCTGAAAATCCCGTCGTTAGGCTATTTGGCGTCGAAAACAGGAACCAAGACTATTGGAAAGAAGAGAGTTCCAAAGCTTGTCACACACTAAGGAACGATTGCAACAAATGTCGCAATGAATGTACGATTAGTTCCTTAAAGAACCCTGTCTGCTCTCTAACAAGGAGCAATACCTTACATGACTCGAAGCAAGAGTATGGAGAGCACTTTATGTATTGCTTTGATTGCTGTTTCCGAGAGAACTGCACCTGTTCGAGCTGTGCGTGTACGCATTACAAATCTTCATGCATCGATTCACAGGTCACTTGCGTTGGGGAAAAACAGTTCATCATTCCTATCACACCTGTATTTTCCAGTGGGAGACATTTCAAATGTCACGTGAAGTTATCGAGAGGTCCCGTATTCGAGTTCGAGGCGTCTCTATGGAAAGATGGAAAGTTTTTGAGGAAAATTCAAGAGAAACGCGACAAGAACTATACCCAAGAAACTGGTCGAGAAACGACAAGCTACGACTATGGTTACATAGTTTTAAGACATTCCTCCAAGATCAGAAATAACTTGGGAACTTTTTTGATGATAAGTGGCAAAGTTGGAGAGTCAAACTTCAGTGTGGGCTGGTATAAAACCGAACAAAAATCAGAACCACACAACACCACTGACAAGCTTTTTATTCAACCTACAGAACCTTTTAAAATAAACACGAACAGTTGGCCACAAGATAACTGCCAAACTTTCGACGCAGAGAAATTTTTGGTAATCACACCCAAAGCATCAATAAATAACTTTGAAAAGCTAACACAAGTTACGGCAAAAGTAGCTCATGAGGATAGTGGACGAGTGTATAAAGTATTCAACAACTCAGGCTCGCAAGAAGTCCATATTGAGGTCCCATCTGAACGCTCCATACTGCAACATGTGTATCCAGGGACGGTTATATTGAATGATAACTCGTTTGCTGGAAAGCTTTTGAGAAATAGGACATTCTGGACCATACGTTTAACTGGACGAGTCAGTACCTGTCCAGGGTTCTTTGTGGCGAGGCTGACGGATCAAGACCGACCAGATGTAAACGTTTATTACTATGACATTGGTAAGTTCCGCCATTACTCCTTTTCGTGGTGGACAAATGCATAGAGGAAGGGGTTGAAGGCTATCCCAATTTCAAAGTGCTTTAAAGGAGCACTCGATATTTTTTTCTAAAGAAGCTTTCTATTTATTTCATGAAAAATTTCCAAAATTGTTTCGAGAAAAGCCGTCCATGTGATCATAATACTCAAAGGGTTAAATTAACAGATAATTCGAAACTCAAATCATGAACGTGCTGCCAGTTTCCTTGAGCGCTGGTGCACCAGTAGAAGAAAATGCGCAAATTCCTATGATGTAATCCTTGGTTTGTAACAAGAATCCCCGCAAATATTTCTTCACAGCCCATCTGTTGCGAAAAAATATTTGAAAATAATTCATTTAGACTTGTTTTTATTGTCACTTAATTTTTCAGCAGTAACAAATGAAGACTGTCTCTTCCAAGTGGAATTCAATCTTCCCTCTGGTGGTAACGCAAACTTGATCGATAAACAGTTTGTTGTTCGCCTAACAGACTCCCGCAAGACTTTAAAACTCATCCTCGTTAATCCAAGAAGGATACCTGAATTTAAACCACCTGACAATGACGAAACTTTTGATCTGAAAAAGCTAGAAGTCTTTATTCCATTTGGTGGGGCAGCAGGAGGGATGTTTCTCTTCTTTCTAGCAATTCTTATTTACGGTTATAAAACACGCCCAAAAGATAGCTACCACCGTGATCGGGATAATGAACTACATTTCAGGCATATCTTGTTTGTCGTCTGGTTTGTTGGAGTAAGACTTGTTAAGAGTTTCCTGTTAACACTGACTGCCCTGTTTGTAATTCTGACTGCTGTTCACCATACGAATATAAAGACACTCGAGAAATATAAGACCTTTCACGAGCAGCAGGCAAAACTAGAAGAAAAGTTTCTTCAGGAGATGGACAAGCACAAAGCACAAGAAATAGATCGCCAATGGTCGCTTCTCAGTGAAGGAAAGGCAGCTTGTGAGAAAAATTTAAAGGCGCTGAACGTGTTCTTAGAGAAACATTTCAGGGAAATGAGAGAAAGACAGGAAGAAGAGATGAAGCGGAAATCTATCCTGTACGCGGCGGAGGATCGGATCAAGAAACAATTTTCTGCGTCAAAAGCAAAATTCGAAAAGGAGAGGAAGCGACTTAATGAGCGACTGGAGGCGTATAGTAATGAAATAAATACCAGGATCTCACAGATTCAAGCGAAAATAGAGAAAAGCTTTTGGTTGAAGGTTGCTAAAGGACTTTACAAGTCTTTGGATGGTCTATCGAGAGCTTTTGGTGGAGGAGGTATCAAAAAACCTTTTATCGAGTGGGTCGGGCTATCGGTCAATTTTCCGAGTGTAAAGGCAAAACTTCCATCGTTTGACGACATTTTCCAAACTTTCGACAGTGAACCACCCATCCCCTCAAAAAGAGCACAAGACATCAATCTCACTATGTGGCAGAGAAAAACTCAGATAAGCGCAAAAGTAAATATTCAGCAAGTATCAGCTCCAAACGTTAACATATCACGCAATCTGCGTATAGGAAGAGCGGAAGAGTTGTTAGCTTTAGAATGGATCGTGCAGCTCTACAGGAACGGGATTTTCATATCTGTATTGATTGTTTTTGATGTACTGTGGTTTGTTTATCGGCATTGTAGAACATACCAGTTGGCGATTGTGCTTCTACATGGCTTTCCGAAAGTGTTCAAGCTGGAAGAAATACAAAAAAAAGAGGAGAAAAAGGAGGCCAAGAAGAAGAGGAAGGAAGAAAAGGCAAGGATAAATAAACAAAAAAACGAAGCAACAGGAAACGAAAAAGAGACAAAGGTTGATGAATTTAATATGAAGAATCCAAATCTCGAGGATTCTTCCCGCCCACCTCGATTTATTGACTCTTCCCAAGAAAGTCTATTGGATCAAAGTCAAGATTCGCTTCCAAATGTTAGAAGTGACCTACCTGACAAAGAGATCACTTTGCAAGAATCAAAAAACAAGAGAGCCACTCGACTTGGATTAAAGGGGCTTGACAATCTTAACAAGGTTTTTCTAAAGTTTCTGGTCAAACTCAAACAGCTTAATTATCAAGTAAGTAATTCATATCGGTGTATATATATAATTATTATTATTTTATCTGTAGTCCTTTAAGGGAGCTTAATCCCCAAAATATGTAATGGTACTTTTTTTCACCTGCTGTAAACTTCTAAGCTCACCGCGTAAGCCCTTGCTCTCTGGCACGGCCTGAGAGTTGGTAACCAAATCATGGGGTTACAAGCTAAAGACAGGAAACAAACCAACGTATTGATTCGTCATGATCAAAACTAATTTAATCTGCTGCGCATTGATTTCTTGACTTCGCACCCCCTTGCTCTCAAGAATCTTATTAATTTGTACCTTTGTTTCTCGTTATAGATCAACAACACAAATTTTGTTCCGATGTGTTTGCTGTTGGTAATTGCCATTTTGTCGGTATATGTTGTCATAATAACTGCTAAGCACTCCATGAACGTCGAAACTATGGAAATTGTTGGATATTTCGACCTTAAAATGACACCGCTTCTGACCATGAGGAAGATTGTCAACACAAGAATAACATCAAATGCTTTTTTGGTTAATGACGTCCATATTCCGTACTACGAGAACAGGTAATTAATCATCTCCTCTCCAACCGTGAGGGATAAAAATGAAGATAGACCGTCCAAACTAACAGAGTTTTTCCCATAAAGTTGTATCGTTTTGCTTTTGTTCAAGTGTTGGAACTAAATTCTTTTTCCAAATTTAGTCGATTGAAATGGAAAAGTTGTTTGGAATCGATCAGTTTTTTATTCAAAATTGAACGGATTTTTCGATAATTAGTTCTCTTGACACCCGTTATGGCAGAGTGCCATGCGTTCTCTTTGTTAAGGGAAATATCATTGTTGAAAAATGACAAATGCGATGTATCATTTCTTGGTCAAACTTTGACATTGTCGTAAACAAAAACACTACCATTTTGAACACCGAGTCAAATTAGTCGGATTGTGGATGCAGCCTGGCACTCCTTCCCATAATGCAATTTGTCCCTTCCTCCGACCATCCAGTCATAAATCCTCGATCTGTACCGTTGTATGGTTCGAAAGTTTGTTCATTCGGCTCATTTTTATCTTCTTTTTTTTTTAATACTTTTCCTTTTTCAGAGTGAATACAAGAATCTCGTTCTACAGAAAGAAGGCTGAAATGTACCAGGCGTATCAATGCGCAAAAGCTGACTTGCATAATGAAGAGTACTGCTCGTGGGCTCAGGAGCCTGGAATGGATTGTGATGGAGTGGGACCGTATAGCAAGGACTTTTTAAACAAGCTGACGCAGTTTGAATGTAACTTAGAACCGGTTATTCCACAGAGGTGAGTTTGCAATCCAATAATTTTCATGAATTTGGGTTGGAGAGCGCAAGTATTATCCTCGAGTTATTCTCAGTAAACTCTCGTTTCATGCCTTAATTCGTGTAAATAACAATTTTTTTAGTTCATTAGCAACAACGTAGGGGATGGGGATTCAACGCCATCCAGGATAGCCACCGGAATGGCCATTGAGACTTGCTTCTTTTCTTTTTGTTGGAGTTTTTGCCAATTTTAGCAAATAAGTAGAGCTTTTATCTACATTCTTGTGGTTTGAAACAGTTTCAGTTTTATGCATGCAGCTTTTCGTTCATTTCAGTGGAAACCGCGAAGCTTCCTTTTATTTTTAATATTACGCCTCTTAACCCATTAGCCGTCCTCCACCAAACTGTACGAAATAAGTATGAGTGATGCAGAAATTAAAACGATGTTAAGACGACAGATACTATTGGAAGAGCAAGCTAATTTTTCACGTGCAATGTTTTTGTTTTTGTTTTTTTTTCAGATTTACCAAGTTCGACCGTTTTCGTTACAAAGAAGTCCACAAAAAGGCTCTATCTCCTTATTTGGCAGCCCTTCGAGGAGTTATCTTGGACACGTTTTACATGTTTTTGGTTATCATTGGTATTGTCATCCTTTCCAAAGTACTGGAAATCGCATTGTTTTTCTTGCTTAAGAGATTCGATCTAGTACGCCAAGTTAAACACTATCAAACGCACCGAGACCTCAAGGGGGAGTTAAGTGTTCCACATTGTATCAAATATCCTTCAAATGAGAGCATCATTAGGCATGTGGGACCTCTTCACATGTCCAACGAGATGATAGCGACGTTTGGGTCGAACATCCACGAAGGAAAAAGTATCCAATGGATCAAGTGAAGAATAAAATCGTTTTGATCCCAATATTTCTGACCATGGACTACTTTTAAACTAGAGCTATTAAATGAAATATCGTGGTTGTAAATATTATTGAAACTTCTTCTTTTTAAAAAGCAATTAAAATGTAGTGTTGACATCGCTAGGCAACGATTGACACTCTTTTCTAAAGAACGTTTGTATGGCAAAATCGTGCAATCCTGATTAAGTTGTCAAGTAGGTACATTTGGAGAAACTTAAAATGTCATTCCTAAAGACCCCGTGAAGAAAAAAAAATATCCTAACGTTAAAAGAACATGAGCCTTGAAAGCTTTAGCCTGCAGGCCCGCATCTTGTATCAGAGCTCACAGATTATCAACGAATGGCACAAAAAACCCTTTCTGAAAGATGTGTTGAGTTTCGTGGAAAAATATTAATTGAAAATTGAAATTAGCAAGTGAACGGAAAATTAAGAAAGAAATAGAGAATAAACGAGTTGAATTGAATTGTAGTAAGGAACTATCCACACAAGTATCCATGGAAATAAGAAGTTTAGCGGGTTGTCTATCTATGCAACATAGCCTTCTGTACTGAACTGTTTCATGCGAGAACTGGAAGCTGCGCTTTGGATGTGTCGTCCATTAGATAAAATTGACAACTTTACGACTAAAAATGGGTCATCATCACGAAACGCTGGCCTACACTCAAACCTTTGGTACGTCTATCAGAGATAATTTTTTTTGCTAAAAAATGTAAACAGTTAGGTGTAGTTCTTAGTAGATTGCTCTACAAAAGGGGTCTTCGTTAAACCCTTCTCGAACTTTTTAACGCATTCAGAAAGGATTTCAAAGCGTCTAAAAAGTCTTGCTTCATGAATGTACACAGAAGGGGATTACATAGCGCGCTCAAAAAGCGAAGGAAAATGATGACAGGGACAATTATGTTCTGTGCGCTTCGCTCTATGTTAAGAAGCCCTATTACTTCCAAATCGTCTATAATCGCCCATAAAAAATACAAAAACAGGCCAAATATGAAGACTGCGATCATTGCAATGAACAAGAAAGCAGTTTTTTTTTCATTCACTTTTCGTCTCCTTGCATTAAACTGTGACACCGTGTGTCCAGACAAATCGCTGTGGATCTCCTTGCATTGCCAGCGAAGATGGATGAAAAGTTTCGTATAGATACTTATCATCAAGAAGAGGGGCACCATAACGAGGGCAATCATGTGAAAGAAGTCGTATCCTAGGTCAAAGCGGATCATTGTGTCATCATCCATTGTGGCGTGTAGAACCCAAGTTAGCTGCACCAATGAAGCCAGTAGTGAGAACACCCACGTGAATGCCAACGTCCAAGCGAGTCTTACTTTAGTGACGATGGACGGATATTGTAAGATCTTGATTATTCTAATATAACGGTCGACGGATAAAATAATAAGGTGGGCCACAGTTGAGAAGGCCAGGAAACGATTTGAGATGTCCATGGCGATGCAGACATCCTGTATTAACGTCTCTGTGCACGCAATCACCATCGGCACTGCCACCACGCCAGTGAGAAGGTCACTTACTGCGAGACTGGCAAGAATTGTGTTGGAAGTGGTGCGGAGATGTCTTTTTTTCCAGATCAGCACCAGGATCAGGCTGTTAGCAGCAATGGCAGATATTGAAAGCAATCCAAAGAGAACTAATGCTCCTCTGTAGTCGCTTTTGTTCACATCTTCCTTGCCAAGGTTGTTTGTTGCGTTACTGCCATTTTTGTTATCCATGTTAATTATTTTATTTTTAACATTTATCTGTTCTCACCTTTGTACAGGTGTTTGTGCCAAATGAATTTGTTAAAATAGAAGCAACTTGAAATGGCTGCAGTAATGTTCTGTTAATGGCGTTGAATTTCTACCAGACCCGTCAAAGTCAACGTTCTTGCTTTTGTTATTAAGATTCTTGGTTTCCACTAAATTCAATTACAGCTTTGTGTCTCACCGCTATAAGGTTTAAATTGAAGAAGAAGTCATTAGTATACAACAACTTACGCCGAAAATTTGAATAATAATGTTAATTAAACAGATAGAGATGCACAACTTAAATTCTGCGATAATTGCTAAACCAAATGCTAAATATACAAACTAAAATAAAGGAAACATAAGTACTATTCGTCCGTACAGTTACATGTAACAAGCAATTTTTCTACAGCTGTGTACCAGCTATCATCGATAGTTTAATAACAAATGATGCCTAGAAATTGTGTTCGATGCATGCGCACAATATCACGAAATTATGTATCATGCGAACTATAAATTACCTCGGATCAGCTTTTTGGCTTTTTATACTGTAAAATAAATTACCCGAATCTCTCCACGAGTCTCCTTCGCTTTAAACGGCACTCTTAGACTTCCTCTCAAACTTTCTTCCAAGCGCCATCCTAGGGTATCATAATTAAACGTCCCTTTTGCATTGTGTTTCGTGGCAAAGTTCTTAATAGATGCCAAGGGGATTGGAAGAGGTTTTGCAAGAATTCTAATTTGCGCAGAATAAAATTAGCCGTGGTGTTTCGTGTGAAGAATAATTTCAAGACTACAATTATAATTTTTTTGATAAATCAATAGTTCGCTTCAGTGTTAAGAAAGCTTAATTATACTTTTTTTGTGTTTTTTGGCTTTTTCCAGATGTAACTCCGTATATATATTCAGGACACATTCACCTTCAAAACAGCAAATGTTTTAAACATGTGTGTCTTTCATCTGATACAAATACATCTAAGTTTAGTCTAGGGCTATTTCGTACCTTGACGAATAAAGCTGTATCTAGCCTTTTCAAACTTTCCTTTCTGTAAAAATCCCTTGGTACACGTGAGACTGAATTGTAAAAAGAAGATTTTAATTGCGATTTATCTCTCTTGACCTGTTCAGTTATGACACACTATAAAAGACGAGGCTGGCGGTCAATGTAATTCCTGTGTTTAAAAATTGTGTCCAGTTTTGACCCAACAAATAAGAAGACCTGTATTCAAAGTTCGAACTGAGTTTGGTAATGCACTTTTTCATTAGAGAATCACATGGGAAGAATATTCTACATTTTTGCATGATTTAATTAGCGAAAAAAATATTAGAGAAAAAAAACTGAAAATAGGATATGAAAGAAAAAAAATATTTCTTCGCTGCAGTTTTGTGAAAATATATTCCTTGAGAAACTATTTACGCGCACAAAGTTTTCGCTGCACTTTTCACGTTGTCATCCAACTTGTAGGTAAATTCGGACTTACAAAGTTTTATTGTGGCTTTGCGTTTGTTTTGTTATAATTGTATGTTATTCATTCCACTAAAACACGGAAAAACCACTTACTAAAAATGTATCTGCACGACGGGCCAGCTTTGAAAACGAGGATTAATCGCGGCTAGACTTTGCCTTTAAGGTACCGTTCTGACCAGCTTCCTCCGACAAGAATTGCGATTAAAGCAAGGAAAAAACAAGGCTCCAGCAGCTTTATTCATTCTTGTACAAATCAAGCCTGATAGTTACGAATCAGTTAGTTTCCCTTTGTTTGTTTGTTTGTTTTGTTTCTGATACATTCCGGAAAATCGCGGTATCCCAGTCAACTGTTGTGAACTTTTAATTGTGATTAAATCAATACATCCTCTTATAGTATACAAGCCCTTCCGCTTAGTATCTGCCTAACCCCTTTCCCGTCTGTTTACTCTCTTGAAAGAAGATAGCTTTTTTTCATCGTAATTATACAAATTCATAGCAAGGGCAAGTTGGTTTCCAATTGTTTCTAAATATGAAAAGCAGAGGAGTGGCGAGTTTCTGAGAACGGAGTAGGTTCTCTAAGATTTCGTGTGTGCCCTCCGCACAGTACGAAATAGTACAAAATCTCAATAACCACATTCCATACAAGGAAATAATACTATGACGCAAAGAAAAAAAATTGATCCTTCAAATTCTAACACAATCCTCTATCTCTTTGGAAAAGTGTCGATTTCTGAAGATACGTTGAACAATAACTGAATCATGCAAAACTGTTTAAAAACGGCGAATAACCTTAAATTTCCCCGGTGGTGTAGGAAGACTTAACATAAATTACTATCAAAGGTGCTGAACCTTTTTTGGCACCAGTTGAGCTAAAAGTCGTATGATCGAACTGGAATTATAATGGAATTGTTAACTGGATTCTCCGCGACTCTTATGGCCGCAGCTAAATGTGTTTCTTAACGTGGTTATTTTGTTCCTTCGTACAATGGGCGATATTGTATTAGCCAAGTTTATGCATAAATTTGCGTGAGTTTGCATAGAAATTAAGATGCGAACAGCCTGGGGAAGTTGAATGTGCATTCATTCAACATTTACGCCAGTCAAATTTAACTCCAACTTCCTTCGCCTTTTTACTCCTTATTTGCTTTGCAAACTCCACGCGCATTTCCATATTAACTATGTAAATAAAATGTTGTCATTAGCCTGCTGATTCTAAGATTTGTACGTAGGTTCCTCCTATGAAACAAAATAACCACGCTAAAACAAGAGATGACAACTTGTCAACGAGCAAGACTTGCTGACGCAAAAATTAGGAAACTGCGTCGAATTTTCAATTAGTGCATGTGCTTTATGAATCATTTAAGCGACAACATGAACACTTGGAATTTGGTGTTACCCCGTAGATCAAAAAACTTGAGACGATAAACACCAGTGTATAAGAAGCTGATGAAGAGGGAACTAGTTTTCTTAGTTTTCGATCAATAAGTTATCCTAAATTTTAATAAAAACGCACTCGTAAGCTAAATATGCAATGCATGTGAGAAAGCTTTTCATGCGAAACTGCTGATTTTTTTTTTAATCAATCTGGGATCCACTTTAGAAATTATTCATTGGATTCTTCGCTAGTCTCAGACCGTAATGCAAAGTGTTTCAGTTTGGAAATTTTGTCTTGCAGAAGGGATCTACGTCTAGGTCTTGCGAATGATTGATCCTCGCACACGTATGTCTTTATTCATGAAAGGGTCCGTGTTAGGTTACGCAAGGAACCGTTGCAAATTTGAACCCGTGATAAGGAATAGAATGGGGAAAAACCTTGGTCGATTTAAAAAGCTAAATATTCCGAAAATATGAACATTTTACACGTAGGATTAATAAAACTTAGTCACTCCCTGTGTGTCCGTTGTGGAGTCTGTGACAGGAACAACAGTCTCTATATTCCTGAATCATCATCTCACAGATATGTGGGATGCAGCAGTTTTTCTGTTTTGCATGTGAATAAAGATCTTCCGCGACACTACCTTATAAGGAAGTAAGCGTTAGCAACAACCCAAAACAAGATGGCGGATTAAAAATGGCAGCCGCCTAGTAAGGCTTGTGTGTGATCATAACTTTTAAGCTGGGCAGCGGCGTTCATGATAACGTTGTGAAAAACGTGGTGTTCTAGCAATGATAATCGAACCTCAATTCACTTACTATTACCAAAATTTAAGAGACCTTTCGAGGTTTCATGCGGGGAAATACAACTCCTGATAACTACTATAATCTCCCATATGTTCTCTGTAAATTACCATCAAGTGCCACTACAAATCCTTCGATCTCTGCCTGAGTAACAAACGAGTCCAAAAAGTGATCTTCGCATTCTCTCCTTCGAAGGTTGTCCTCTCGCAATAGCCTGTTTTGAATTAAATTCTCATAGTTTGGAGCAGGAAATTTTTCTCCTAAACTGCTTACTTTTCCTTTTTTTAAGTATGAACTGGGAAGCCAAATATTAAGCTTTAAAGACGGCGAAAATCTCGCGCAAATCCAAGCAAAATAACTCCCAAAAGAAGGAAATCTGTCAGCCATTTTGAACAAAGCAACCAGGCCTCTAAACAGTGCAAAAAATGGACCCAAGTGGGGTAGGGAAGAAGCGGTGAACTAATTTATAACTTTTATATAATTTGCTGGGAAGTAAAAACGTATTTGTGATGACATTTCGTTCCGAACATAACAAGTAGGTATGCTGAATGCTGCATGTGGAAAATAGAAAAACAAAGAAATGTCTATACATGTAGTATTAAAAAACGCAAAGTTCAATATCGGCTGAAGAAAATCTATCTAATTAAGCATAATCGATTATGTCCTGTGAACGCTTGACAACACGCCTCGCCATTATGGATACATTTGAGCATGTGCCTGCGAGTTTCCGCTGGATTGCCTCTCAAAATATATCGTGGGAGCAAAATGTCACCAGTTGTAGCTATCAAGAAAGAACCTGGGTACTAGGCTGTAATCATAGTGATGCCTATGAACACTCACGCTGTTCGAATTGGCGACCAAATTAGTACCAGAGTTATCACTGTTGTGAGCAGATTTGTGATCAAGACTGATGCAAAACCTTAGATTTAGCGTCTACCCAGCAAACCCTATGGCTAGCCAATGTGATAATACCATCTCAATCGGTAAGCTGAATTGAATGTTGTATTGAATTTACCGAAGAGAATATTCTAAGCGGAAGCTGTTGAAAGGGGGGCAAACTTTCATGTACTAGTGCCGTAAATTCCCGCATCTTTCTTGTGTTACGAAGTACATAATAAACTTGTCCGGGCAGGTAATCGATCCTAAGTCTCCAAAGATTCCTTCGGAAAATGAGATGAACTCGTTACTCTTGGAGCGAGTTTTCTCAAAGCCAAAATAGCAAAGCGGCACGGTTTACTGACCAACTTCTGCATTGTAGATCAATGCTTTTATAAATAACCGGGATCTTCTCTCTTTCTTTTCCTCGTCGGCCGAGGATCTTAATTTCTTCATCAGATTTGCAATCAACAACAATTTTAAAACGTAGATAGTGTATATTTTGCTTAGGAATGATTACTCCGAAGTTCTGAGAATTTCGCGGTAGTGATTTCTGAGAATTAGAAAACATGACATAAATATTATTCTCAAACTCGATTCAAAGTCATAGTTTTTCCTCTGAAATGAAAAACCGATCGCGAGTTATCATGATAGAGAAGCATTACATTGTTTGTTGTTTGTTCACTGATAAATTACCCAATCTAACGATGGGTGAGTACAACGTCACTAGTTATTCAATTCAGTTGAGAAGATTTCGAAATGCATTGGCGCGTGACAGTTGTTAACCTTGATGTTACAATTTTCTCTCTGTTTTTCGAAGTTATAGCTTCAACAGAAGTCACAGCGATAACAAATCGAGAATATTTGACTAAAATCATGTCGTTCAGTCGAATCGTAATTGACAACAAGACCAGATTTCGTGACACGTCTTTAGTGCGGCGACATAATAAACTCAACTCGGTCAAATCATTAGAGCTCACCTACAAACACGATCATAAGACATGAACCTAACGCCAAAACATGTAATAAAATCTGATTAGAAAGAGACGAAACTACTGGCACTTGTGTATGAAAAGCACAATGTTGCAGAGTGAGACACTTTATGTTTGCTTGAAGCTATAGCAACCCTTTGCACCCTTACATCAGTGAATGTATTTTCCATACTGTTCCCCATATATTCCCTAAGGTGCTGACAAGGAAAATTTGTGTAACAATCGACAGCTTCTTTTGCTGCTTATAATTGTTTTTATTCTCATGACCTTACTACATGATTTAGGGATGATACTGTTGGGAGAAATTAGATGCTAGTCACTCTTAGAGGTTAGGGATGAGTTAAATGGTGAAAGGAATCTATTTACCTTCGGATAAGTTTGGATTTGTGGAGATTGGGTGGATTCACGCAGTTCCCTAAGCGTTTTTTTTTATTATTTTTCCTAAAGATTTTAGATAGACAATTGAAATTCACGATAGCTATCACTCAGATGTTAGTCATTGTCACTAAAGTTTTGTGGAGATTGAAAGGTTTTAGAGATGTTTAGGTAGAAGCGACTTATGCCTCAACATTTATCCTTCTGTTAAACTCCTACGAAATGCTTAAAACTCTTAATTAGCATAACACAATTTTTAGATACCTTCAACTGCATCTGAACCTGTATATTAGATAGCAAGCGATCCATAGATGATTAGATATATATATATCTATATCTTTTTTTTTTTTTAATTTTGTAAATTCGTTGGGTTTTCTTCCAAAGCAAGTCTCTGAGAGTGACAAATGTACATTTTTTCCTTCCTTTTAGAATCTTTATTCTCTGCTTTCATGAAACTTAGGCCGGAAGCAGTGGAAAAGATAACCGTGAGGTTAGACATGGAAATAACAAGGGCGGTGAAAAATTGGAGGCATTTTGCAAGAGAGTTAAAAGTTGCACCAGAAGTTATAGAAAGTCTGAAGTGGTACGGTACCTTTAGTCCAACCGCGAACGTTTTTGATAACTTGGAGTTTACAAAACCAGACCTTACAATTTCGACGTTGAAGGAGGTTTTCACAAATATCGGAAGGAACGATTTGAAACAACTGCTGGATCGAGGTATTGTGTAAAAACTGTGCTTCTTCTAATGTGACATTAGTGACACATTAAACTCTTCACACTTTTTCTCTTTGCTCTTCAGATTGAAGTTTACGATAGTCACAACCCCGTAAATGAAAGCTATGAAAAAAAATGTTTTCGATAACCATTTCATAACATCATTTTTTTCAAAGTTTTTAAAGCAGAAGACGACGGGGAGAAAGTAACAACTGTCTTAGATAAAGTCCCCTTGACTGATATCGCACTGGGACTTGACAGATTTAAAGGACCCACGGCAAACTGGGAAGACTTTGCCATGCACAAAATGATTGGTGTAGCCAAAAACAGAGGCGAGGTACACCAGTTTGGATCACCTCAATTAGAAGATCCAACAGCACAGCTTTTCCAGTATCTGGAGACGAAAAGAAGCCGGTTGACACTGGGAGAACTGTACGACGTACTCAGCTCTGATT